TGTTTTTTAAATCAGTATCATTCACAATCAAAATTTAAAAATACTAAAACACAAGTGGTCGTGGAAGAATTAGTAACAAAAACAATAATGATGAGCAAAACGAATAGATATAAACCATTTTACTTAATCAATTATTGAAAATGCATTTAAATGTTTGCAGATTAAATATTGGCTGGAAAGCATGGAGCCGGAAGGAAGTTTTTATTCGCAAAAGTTAAAGAGAAGAAACTATTTTATAGAACTTTTGTTCGGCAATATCTCGCCAGCTCAACTTTAAAAATAAAAAATACAATCTCTTGACGCTAGTAAGTTTATAAAGTCATATCTTTGCTCATAAGTTTATAAAGTCTCGGTACAATTGCGAAGAGCTCATCCGAACAATTACGATGAGACTATAGTAAAGACATAGAGAGGTAACCTTACGGCGGTGGGAAACTGATTGGAGCAAAGCCATCAGAACGGGACCAATAATCTTGCTGATTCTTCTTTGGATATGATCAAGGAGCTCATGGTAAACATCAAGGTACTGGACCATATGTGGTAGCAATATTCTAAGCATGGACGAATGGTAGACTTATAAATTCGTAATATAGATTTTAGAGAGAAAAATTGTCTCATCCAACATAGTGAACGGACTTTCTAAGTACCTGACTTAACATTGCATTCAATATTGTCTTTCCATTTCATATCAGCAGAGAACGTCAATCCGAGAAGGCGCGACAAATCACTATTCTGGAGGCTAGCATTAGCCATGCTGATAGAAAGCAGTGACGGGTCTGTGGAGATAAGATTGGTTATCGAGGCCTTAAAATTAACAAATCATCTTTTGCCTCGGACTTGAAGTCGTTTTAGAGCTCGGCTGCCATTTTAATCTTGTTGGAACAGACAAGCCTTACTCTAAAAGCAGGAGTAAATTGTTGTATCATCAGCCGATGTTATCAGGAAGGTGATTAATTAAAAACTAAAAATTAAAAAACACTGTAGGAACAAGGATGGAGCCATGGGAAGGGGGCACATCCATTAGAACCAAATGATCTAGACGAGTGGCCGTTCATTTCACGATTTGATAGGAAAGACTAGACCAGTTCAAGAAAAAGTCTCTGGGGACGCCGTAACTTTTCAGCTTGTTGAAAAAGAACTTTATGCCAGACCTGTAAAAAAAATATTTATGGCTTTTAAAGTTTTTTTATCTAGAGCATGATAAGCTCTTTTCTTTCTATGGTTTCAGTATTTTTAACCCATTTTGGGCTTTTCTATTTGTCCAATATTTAATAGGACCCTAACATAAAAAACCCCCCTTTGGTTCAGGGATTGACCTAAAAAAAATTTTTTTATCAATTAAGAGATGGTTCCAAATATTTTATCAGAATTTTATTTGCTGCCTGTTATTCTGATCCTTTTAAATTGTTCAAATCATGCATTTTAAATTCTTTTAATTAATGCTAGGCATTTCTTCTTGCTTTCCTTCAAAAGGACAAAGAATATGTAGGAATTCTTGTTCATTCCTGTATGTTTCTGCTATTAACACTGTGTCATCTGCATATCTTATATTGTTAAGATTGTTAAATTACCCTAATGATGGGTCATAACTTTCAGGAACTTCTAATTCTCTCAGAATCTCATCATTCTAAAAGGTTAAATAACTCCAAAAAATTTAAGATTTTTTCAGCCTTGTTCAGACCCCTTTTCTATTTTTGTATATTTACTGTTTATATTTTTTCCATAAAAGCATAATGGACTATTCCATACCCCAAATACTGCGCCTCAGGGAGTTCCGTCTGAAGTCTGAAGAAATTCAGTCTGAAGTTCAAAATGTCCGACAGAAAAAAAAGAAAAGTCAAAATCATATTTGAAAGTCAGTCAGTCAGTCAGAGGCAGTCCGAAACAGAGTTGCGTTCAGACAATTCCTACTAAACCTGATTGTTCGTGCTAACACGTTCTACTTCTCTGTATATATTCCTGTTTGTTATATATCTGTGTTCTTCCATATACGTGTTCGAGTTCTTCTTTATTGGTTCTAACTTGGACTATCACCGTGGTACAAGGAACCGGACCATAACATACTGAATTCACGTTGTTTCTGTTTGCCGACGGTTTGCTTCTAATATAAATTCCGGATTCTTCTAAGATCCTTTCAAGATAAGTCAAGTTTACCTAGCAGTTCAAATAGTTCTTTATGACGTAATTTTTTCCAAGGATTTTGCATAATTTATAAAAAGAGATAGATATACATTCTTTTGAGTTTCTATTGCTCTTTTTGCGATCATTCTGGACATAAAAATTGCATTCCTTGTTCCAGTACTTTTCACAAAACTAAAATTATTCTTGTTCTGTTTCTGGTGTCATTCTACTGCGCGTTATTTTCATCAGAATTTGGATGATCCGTTTTATTATTAATATATAATTGTTTTATGAAACCACATTGTTACTGTCCTCTTCCAGATCATTATCATCATCAACAACATCTTCTTCTTCTTATCTGTGTCATGTCCCTTCAAGACATTGGCGGTCATGAATCTCCCTAAACCTCATCTTTTTTGTAGCACTTTTTGACATTTTGATATCTCTCCTAAACCCTGTTCCTCCATCCATTAATAATAAAAAAAAACTAATTCTTCTTCCATGTGCCGTCGGAACGTTGGCCATCATGGCTCTCCTCTATTTCCTGTCTTTGTTATCTTTCCTAATCCCTGTTCTTCTATCCATTTATACGAGGTAGGTTATATGCTATTTTCCTCTTTCCCTTTTCCGTTCAATGTCATGTGAGCGTCAGATTTTCCAAGTCCTCTTTCCTCATTTTGTGTCCTAGAAACTTTAAATGTCTCTTTCTGGTGCTATGCCTAAATTTAGTTTTTGTTTACATTTTCTCTAAAACTTCATCATTACTCAGTCCAAGGTATTCTCAACATCCTTCTGCAGAAACAAACCTCTGTGGCTTCAAGTTCATTCTTCATCTTTGAGGAGACTGTACAGTATTCACTCTGTTGAGGCATACCTATGGACGATAATGCGTATGTCTCTATTCACAGAAATACAGTAGTAAATACTGTATGTTGATCTGCAGTTGGAGATTCATTGTGGAATTCATTTGACTCACTTCTAGCAGTTGACTACTTCTACGTGCCGCTAGCGAATCTGATATGAGTTGTTCTTGTCCTAAGTATTATCATTCATTAACAACCTTCGTTTGATTATTCTATTCGGTTACGTTCCCTGGTGTTATGGTCCAAGGTTAGGACCATGGAAGAACAACACGAAACAAAAGAGTAGAAATAACAAAGAATATATTACACGAAAAATAATACAAGAAGTGAAAGGTGTTAGCATGACTGTCAGACTGGTTTGGAGTGAACTACTATCAGCTCGACTCGATTCAATACCGTCCAAAACCGTTCGTCTCTCTTGAGAGGCGTAGTATATATAGCGTTAGGAAGAGTTTGTTGTTCATGATGACGGTCGTCTTCGAGTATAGAATCCAGAGGTTAGCAGTGAATATTTCGAAGACAGTAGGAAAGCGTTGTTCAGGTTAGCAGTGGATATTTTGGTAAAAGTAGCAGAGCGTAGTTCGTCCTTCTGTTTCTCTTCGCCTGACAAGCTAGCACTGGACATTCGGGTAGAGTGAACAAAATGGCCGC